GAGAAAGGAGGTTTATCCGGTATGGTAGTGGGTGGGGTGGCTGGACCGCTAGCCTGTGAAGGTATGGGTACCAGGTTTGGCGAGACCATGATGGTGCAATCAGGATGACTAGGGCTTTGTGTCTCAGGATCTTGCGCAGAACTCTTGGGATGAGCAGTATGGGAGGAAAGGCGTAGTGTAGGGCGGCTGCCCATTTGATTAGGAAGGCATCCCCCAGAGAGTGTTTGCCAAGTCCCGCATGTAAGCAGAATTGGGGACATTTGGTGTTCTGGGTAGAAGCAAAGAGGTCTATCAATGGCCATCCCCATTGGTGGAAAATTGAGTTCGCCACCTCCGTATGTAACTCCCATTCGTGGTCCGTGGTAAAGTTTCGGCTGAGGGAGTCCGCTTTGGTATTGTTCACTCCGGGCAGGTAGGATGCTATAAGGGTGACTTGGTTGCGGATACACGCATTCCACAGGCAAATAGCCTCCGCGCATAGCGAGCGGGAGCGGGCTCCACCCTGTCTGTTTATGTAGAACATCGTGCAGATGTTGTCCGTTAGGATGCGGACTGTGTGATTGGCGATGTCGGAGGCAAAGTGTGCACAGGCATTTCTTACTGCCCTCAATTCGAGGAGATTGATATATAAGAGTGTCTCGTTTGGGGACCACCTGCCTTGAACTTCGTGACCATCCATATGTGCCCCCCAGTTGAGCAGGGAAGCATCTGTGGTGATTTGAATAGTGGGTTCGATTTGTTGGAACGGAACCCCCGCCAGAAGATTGTTTGGCACTGTGAGCCATCGTAAGGATGCGAGCATGTCTGGTGGGATAGTAACCGTTTTGTTTCGAGGGTGTCGTGATGGGATATAAACGGTTGCAATCCAGAGCTGGAAACATCGAAAGTGCAGACGAGCATGGTGGACTACGTAGGTGGTGGAAGCCATGTGTCCCATTAGACGGAAGCATGTAAGTATTATGGTAGTAGGAACTGTGAGCATCCCGTTTATAATTTTTTGCATGGTTGCAAAGCGTTGTTGAGGTAGGTATGCCCAGGCTGTAACTGAGTCCAGGTGTGCGCCAATGAACTCTATATCCTGAACCAGGTGCAGAATTGATTTGTCTTGGTTGATTAGAAGGCCTAGAAAACTGAGGAGGGCCGTGGTCGTATGTATCATAGAGGCGGTATCAGCGTATGAGGATCCCTTTAGAAGGCAATCATCTAGATAGGGAAATATGATGACGGTCTGCCGTCTGAGATACGTGGTTACGACCACCAGTACCTTCGAAAATCCCTTCGGTCTCTCATCAGCTCCGAGGGTAAGAACCTTGTACTGGAAATGGTCCAGTCCCAACGTGAAGCGTAGGTAGCGTCTGTGGGCGGGGTGGATGGTTACATGGAAATAGGCATCTTGGAGGTCGAGGGTTGAGAACCAGTCCCCTCGATCTAGCGCAGGAATGATTGCGGAAGAGTGACCATCTTGAAACGCTGTCTCTTGAGAAATTTGTTCAGTCTGCGGAGATCCAATATAGGTCTCCAGTCCCCTGTTCTTTTCTCGGTCAGGAAATAGTTCGAGTAAAACCCTCTCCCGTGGAACTCTCGGGGTACCCTTTCTATAGCCCCAATGACAAGGAGCCGATTGACTTCTTGTTTTAGAAGGGTTTCACGGTGTAGGGGGAAGGATAGGGGGGATAGAAATAAAAGGGATGGTATAGCCCACTCGAATTATCTCTAGGACCCAGCAGTCCGATGTTATGGATTCCCACTGTGGGAGGAAGGCACGCAAACGATGGTTGAATAGATGGCCATGTTGAGGTGCGAGATCGAATGGGAGGTCTTGCAGACCCTCGACCAAATGTTCAAATTTGCTGCTTAGATGGTTGGTTAGCTAGCGGGCGGGCTTTGTTGGATCGCCTTCTGGGACCTCGCTGTCTTGGTCTGTTGTCTTCATAAGGCCTCTGTGGTCGATTGTATTGTCCATACCGATATCGATTATATGAATTATATGGAGTGTATCGCCTGCGTTTATAGGGTGGCGTGCCCATACCTAGCGTGCGAAGTGTGGACTTAGAATTTTTGCTGTTGTGGAGCATTTCGTCCGTAGTGGCTGCAAATAGCTTTTGTTTGTCAAATGGCAAGTCCTCCACTTTGGGCTGGAGTTCGCGTGGAACTCCAGATGACTGGAGCCAAGAAGCTCTATGCATCACCACCGCTGTAGCTATAACTCGGGCTGCAGTGTCAGCTACATCCATTGCCATTTGGAGAGCAGCGCGGGCGATCATATGGCCCTCATGAACTATTGATTTTAAGATGGGTCTTTTGGAGTCGGGGAGATGCGCCATTAGTTCTCCCAGTTTTGAGTAGTTGTCAAAGTTGTGATTTGCTAAGAGAGCAGAGTAATTTGATATTCTGAGTTGTAGGGTTGAAGAGGAGTATACTTTCTTGCCAAAGGAGTCCAACTTTTTGTGGTCCTTGTCTGCATTGCCTATCCTATACTGTGGAAACTTCGCTCGTTGTTGTACTGAGTCCATGACTAGTGAGTTAGGTTGTGGGTGAGTGAAGAGAAAGTCGTTGTCTTTTGAGGGGACAAAGTACTTTCTGTCAATTTTCCTGTAAGTTGGTTGGATAAATGCAGGCGCCTTCCACAGATCTTCTGAGGTCTCCATGACTGCCTCATCTATGGGTAGGGCAATCTTGCCCTGTAGTGTCGGATGTAGATTCTTTAACAATTGGTATTGTTTCTTCTGCACCTCTTGCAGGGAGACATTCTGGCTTGTCGCTACTCTCTTGAATAGTTCTTGGAACTGTTTTAGATCGTCAATCGTTCCAGTGTCTGATGGTACTACGGCGTCCTCTGGTTGTGCATCAAGGGAATCAGAGTGTTGACAGACGGGAGAAAGCCGGTTCACTGGAGTCCTGGTCTGAGGTAAGTTCAAGCCCCCTGAGGGGGGGATTTAATTAATTCTATTTTTCCTATTTCTAGGTTTTTTTTTTTTTTTTAAATAAAGAAACAAGGAAAGAGTAACTAGGATAAAACAGGGGAAACTAACTATGCCTAAATAACTAAGAGGAAAGTAGTCAGATAATCTGACAGGGAGCTCCTGACTGCTCCGTCCGCTGACGAGGGTGGTTAAAGAGGAACTGAAAGGGAGGGGGTTGAGTCACGCTCCTCAGGAGGCGGGAAGGGCTCGAGACGCCTCCTGGGCATGTGCGGCTCAACAGGGGAAACTGCTATACAAAGCTCCGATCTGCGGCTCAGGGCAACCCTTCACCTACAGTGGAGCACCCACAGGGACACTACTTGAAGAAGAACTATATGTTTTGTTTCCATGTCAGAAGAGTCCACACAATACAGCATAAAACCTGAACTAATGCATCTTATGCAGCCCTGAGGTTTTCATTTTTTGCTTCAGATGCTAGGAACGGCTAAAATGGCTCTGTTTTCACACTGTATTGTAAGTCAAAACATTTTAGATTTTTATGCACCATTTAAAAATCAACAGGCTTAAAACTAAATGCTTTAAATTAAGATAATTTATTCAAGTGTTAGGTTTGACAGACTACAGCACATTATTAAATGCAATTATATACTGAATGTAACTGAATACAAATACTTTTTGCATCTCCGCAAAACGTGCTATGAATAACTAGGCAGGATTTTTTTTTTAATTCCATAAAATTTCAAATTAATATAATCCCTAACATGAACAAGGAAAGCACAAACATCTTAATTTCAATGCAAGTTGGATGTCACTAAATCACAGATATTAGAGACAACAAATATCTATTAGGTTATTTTGTCCAACTCTCTAAAAATGCAGCATTAACACTGAACAGGACAAAGTACTCTGTCTAATCTACTGTACTATTAAATGACTGAGTCATATTAATTGAGAAGACTTCCCCTTTTTATCTTTGAAGACTATTCCACTGAGTGTAACAGGTATCACTATTCGGATAATTTTCCTTACCTCAGTTTAATACTAGTCTCAAAGGGATAGCTGTGTTAGTCTGTATCAGCAAAAACAACAAGGAGTTCTGTGGCATCTTAAAAACTAGATTTATATGCAAATAAATCTGTTAGTCTTTAAAGTGCCACACAGGGGAAGCTTTAGGCCGATTCGACCGATTCCCCCGAATTGGGCTCGCGCTGGCTGCTCCCCTCCCACAGCTCTGTGGTGTGCTGGGCGCGCTGTGGTAGGGGGAGTCGGCCCGAGGAGGAGGAGTGCAGCAGCTTTCCTGGATTTAAAGGGGCTGTGACTCTCTTTTGTGTGTGGTGGTTTTTTTTCTTCTTCTTCTTCTTCTCAACAAAAAAATCTTGGCTGCCGTCGAAACTGTTCAAATTGGGCCCCGCACTTCGTAAAGCTGGCCCTGGTGCCATAGGACTTCTCATTCAATTTAATACTATGACTCCTGGTTATAAAAACAATTCTTCTCCTCCTTTGGTGTTTACATGAATCACATTTTATACCTTACATCTGTAGAATAGCTTTCATTCCAAAAGATGCCAACATGCTTTATTAAACTACATAGGAATGCTTTCACCTCACTGCTAAAATGCTGCTACAATTGAGCTTAACAACAGCAGTGAGACAGAGCAGTTTAGAGAAGGGAACTAAAAATACCATTGGCAGATGAAATCATAGATTACTAGCACTGGAAGGGACCTTGAGAGGTCATCAAGTCCAGTCCCCAGCAAGGCTAATTTAGATAGACAAAAATTAATTATTAAAATTAGAATTAAATTTATTTTTTTTAAATCATATTTATACAGGTCTTACAGACACACTTTTAAAATTTGTCTGCAGTATACATGCACTATATACACAGATAGATGTACAGACAGATTCCAAGGTGAGAAGGGCCCATTGTGATTACCTAGTCTGAACTTTGATACAACACAGACCATAGAACTTCCCCAAAATAATTTGTTTGAATAGAGCACAACTTTTAAACACAATTTTGACAATTGCTAGTGATGAGAATCTGCTACTGTATATAGAAAATGCAACTGGAATCTCAGTTCCCCTCCCTATCCCCCAAGTTTTCCCTCTCACGTCTCTATTCCCTGACCCCCTAGGCCTGGCTCCTCACACTTTGCATTCCAGTCAGTCTCTTTCCTCTCTCATCCTTGTTGCTATGGTGACAGCAGAGGGTAGCACCCAAGAGCAGAAATATTCCCCATCCTTTGCTCTAAGTTCCTTTTCTTGGCACCAGTAACCCCCAGCTTGCAGCGGCAGCAATTGCATGAAAAGTCCCCATCACCTCTGAAGCCCTGGGATGAAGCACACCCAGCAAAAATGGACTTTTTGGAAAACTTTGTTGCCAAATTTTAACAAGTCTGCTAAGCGAATGTGCAAACAAATTTTCAGAGGCACATGAGCTTGACCAAATTTGAGCAACTTTTTACAGAGATGATGAAAGACATATCACTAATGCCAGGGGCAGATGACCGTTTTGCGGGGCCCCGGGAAGCATAACTCCGCAGGGCCCCCCATTTGCCACGGCGCATGTGCGGGGCTTTTTTAAGCGCGGGGCCCGGGGCGGCCACCCCGTTCGCCCTGCCCTATATCTGCCCCTGACAAATGCTAAGACAAGGCCCCTTTCGCCATTTCCAAATCAGAAGTCCTAGCTAAAAAGCATCGGGCACTAAAGCTCCTCAGCAAAACAGTCTATTTTTAAATATGACAATTTTTTTTCTAATCTCCTTTGCAAAAGTGGCTGAACAATTTTTGCTGAAAATTCCCCACAAAAATCAGCCCAAGTCTGTGAACCCACAATGTGATTTTTCAGCCCAAATGGCTAAAAACTGACAGTTATAAACAACCAAACACGAGGCCTTATAACAGAAAGTGTTTGGCAATTTAACTATAGTCCTTGTTACTTGTGCTGCCTATAACAAGCAAGATGTATGCAAATACTTCACACACACACGCCTCTAAATTATGCATGCTTTTGGAAACACTTTCTTTCAAAGGAGATATTCAATCCAGGGTTAAACAAAACATGTTCGCTAGGAGCTCAGATGTGCTGGTGGAGCACACTGGAATCCAGGAAATCACTTAAGCACATGAATACTTCTGAGTTAAGATAAAAATGTGCTTCAATGCTTTTCTAGATTGGGACCAAAGTGCTTAGCATGATTGAGCTCTGTCGCTCTGGTTTGAATGGCCACTACTTCTGTGGACCTGGATGTTAACTCTCTTCTGAAAGATGGCATGTCCAGCATCAGAGACCCCACATCATCATGCTGGGTCTCAGTTTGGTAACTCCATCTAAAGCAAAAATGATGTATTGATGGATATCCTTTCATTTGCCACATCTCCTGTCTGGGCCTATGCGAGCATACATCAAGTACTGTGCAGCTTAGGAAACCTCAGTATCAGAAAGACTTTGATATGTTGGGGGAAATTCATAGCAAGATGGTAAAAGGTCAGACAAGACTGAGTAAATACTATAAAAAATACTACTTCTCTGGACCTGGACGTTAAATCTCTTCTGAAAGATGGCATGTCCAGCATCAGAGACCCCACATCATCATGCTGGGTCTCTGCCTCCCAAGCACCATTTCCTAGGTTTTCCTTGGAACTATCCCACCAAATTAACAAAAAGGCCTCACCTTGCTTAGTCTGTGAGAAAAGTGAAATGTCTGAATTGGCCTGGCTATCATGTCAGCAGTTAATGGAGTAGTTAACCTATTTTTTTTTATAGTATTTACTCAGTCTTGTCTGACCTTTTACCATCTTGCTATGAATTTCCCCCAACATATCAAAGTCTTTCTGATACTGAGGTTTCCTGAGCACTGCACAGTATTTGATGTATGCTCACATAGGCCCAGACAGGAGATGTGGAAAATGAAAGGATATCCACCAATACATCATTTTTGCTTTAGATGGAGTTACCAAACTGAGGATTTTAAGGCTTAAGGCAGAGGCTAACCCATTTCCTAACAAATACACTAAGGGCTGCAGTGACATCCCATGGGGGACAGAGGAAACAGAATATTAATTTGGTTGGTGATTCACAAATCAGTCTGGGATAATGAAAGACTATCTACATATTACTAAATAATCCAAGCAGAGAAGGGAGAGAGAGAGAGAGAGAGAGAGGGATGAGAAGAAAGGCAGATAACACCCAGTTTTCAAAATGGATATGCAACACTCCAAAGGCATACACATTTTTACTCTGGGAAGCAGAGGTGCACATAGCACTGGGGAAAACAGGAATGTGCTGCTGAGTAGTTTTGAGAACTGATTAAAGCGCGTGCGTGCCATCTGGGCAAACACTGGGGTGACTTCACAACAAAAATATTAATGTCGCACCTGCCTGTTTGAAAGAATGTGAAGGCTATACCTGACAGCAGGGCTGAGCATGGAGTTCACACAGAGAGTAGAACACCTACTCAGTGGGGGGAGGGAGAGAGGAGGAGAAGGACTGCTA